CCAGGAACCTCAGGACAACGGGTCTGAATGGTGTAATAACTGGGCATTCGGTGATGTAGTGTGGGAGATCATGCCGCAGTTCCTGTTCACATAGTTTACACCTGGAGTGCTCAGGATTGGGAGATCCGATACCTGTAGCCACCTACCACAGGTAACGGTAACCCAACCTGATCCTGGCAACCACTGTGTCGCACAGTCTGGTGGACGTCTTGTACTGCCCATAAACATAGGTTTATTTTGACCAGACAACACACTAGAAGGTGAAGGGACGACGACGTTTAGGTCCGTCCTGGACCATTCTCAAGTCGATTGTGAATGGTCCAGGACGGACCGAAACGTCGTCGTCCCTTCACCTTCTAGTGTGTGGTCTGGTCAACATACTTTAGCCACGTTATTGTGACTCATCGCCTGCAACATAGGTTTATGATCTAAACAAATCATAGCTTTTTATACTGGTGCTTTCAGGCACAAGTATATGACTACTACTGCTGACTACCAGCACCAGGTCGTTGGTAGTCAGCAATTTCTGTCCTATCAGACCCGAGTATTGGTTAATAGTCTTGGCCGCAGAGATGGGGATGGAGGAGAAATCCCTCGAGCAGGATGGAATTCCACGGGCATTGTTGTCCCCCTAACTCCCCTTGCCACTTCTGGGGGTATAAGGTGTTTATGTAGCTTCAGGGCACCAATCCCCCCAGGCATTGGGCATGGCGAGAAGGCACCCCTAAGCCCTTATGCCTCCGTCGAAGAGTACCCAGGGATGGATATCACCATCCTCTCAGGCGATATTCAGAGGCTATGTGAAGGTAACTAGAACATGGCTCACAAGACCTGCCTAACAATATGGCCTACACTGAGCCGTAGCAGCAGAAGCCATTAATCATTATAACAGATCAACAGCAGGAATGTCCAGGGCGAGGAGTGGGCATGGAAAGAGGGAAGGAATCATGCCCGGCGACAACCTCAAGCAGGAAAAGTGTGTAATGCTGATAAGGTGCAAGAATAAATTCGTGGCATGATAAGTTTGTTAGTTGTCACTTCAGTTATCTTATCCCAACATTGTGGTAAATTGTGCCAACGTTCGTTTGGCGGCCCTAACGCTAAACTACACCTGGGGGTTGGCGGCACTAACGCTAAACTACACCTGGGGGTTGGCGGCACTAACGCTAAACTACACCTGGGGGTTGGCGGCACTAACGCTAAACTACACCTGGGGGGGTTGGCGGCCCTAACGCTAAACTACACCTGGGGGGTTGGCGGCCCTAACGCTAAATTACACCTGGGGGTTGGCGGCCCTAACGCTAGACTACACCTGGGGGTTGGCGGCCCTAACGCTAAACTACACCTGGGGTTGGCGGCCCTAACGCTAAACTACACCTGGGGTTGGCGGCCCTAACGCTAAACTACACCTGGGGTTGGCGGCCCTACGCTAAACTACACCTGGGGTTGGCGGCCCTAACGCTAAACTACACCTGGGGTTCGCGGCACTAACGCTAAACTACACCTGGGGTTGGCGGCCCTAACGCTAAACTACACCTGGGGGGTTGGCGGCCCTAACGCTAAACTACACCTGGGGGTTGGCGGTCCTACGCTCTACTACACCTGGGGGGTTGGCGGCCCTAACGCTAAACTACACCTGGGGGGTTGGCGGCCCTACGCTCTACTACACCTGGGGGGTTGGCGGCCCTACGCTCTACTACACCTGGGGTTGGCGGCCCTACGCTCTACTACACCTGGGGGGTTGGCGGCCCTACGCTCTACTACACCTGGGGGTTGGCGGCCCTACGCTCTACTACACCTGGGGGGTTGGCGGCCCTACGCTCTACTACACCTGGGGGGTTGGCGGCCCTACGCTCTACTACACCTGGGGGGTTGGCGGCCCTACGCTCTACTACACCTGGGGGGTTGGCGGCCCTACGCTCTACTACACCTGGGGGGTTGGCGGCCCTACGCTCTACTACACCTGGGGGGTTGGCGGCCCTACGCTCTACTACACCTGGGGGTTGGCGGCCCTACGCTCTACTACACCTGGGGGGTTGGCGGCCCTAACGCTAAACTACACCTGGGGGTTGGCGGCCCTACGCTCTACTACACCTGGGGGGTTGGCGGCCCTACGCTCTACTACACCTGGGGGTTGGCGGCCCTAACGCTAAACTACACCTGGGGGGTTGGTGGCCCTAACGCTAAACTACACCTGGGGGGTTGGTGGCCCTACGCTCTACTACACATGGGGGGTTTTCGATGTGTATCACTTTTCAAATTGTACGTTACTCTGTTTATGCCAAAAATGAAAATTTTTATCATACCGCTGTACACTCGTTTAGTCCAGTCGTCATTGTAACCACGTGAACAAGTTTAGTCCAGTCGTCATTGTAACCCCGTGTACAAGTTTAGTCCAGTCGTCATTGTAACCCCGTGTACAAGTTTAGTCCAGTCGTCATTGTAACCCCGTGTACAAGTTTAGTCCAGTCGTCATTGTAACCACGTGAACAAGTTTAGTCCAGTCGTCATTGTAACCCCGTGTACAAGTTTAGTCCAGTCGTCATTGTAACCCAGTGAACAAGTTTAGTCCAGTCGTCATTGTAACCACGTGAACAAGTTTAGTCCAGTCGTCATTGTAACCACGTGAACAAGTTTAGTCCAGTCGTCATTGTAACCACGTGAACAAGTTTAGTCCAGTCGTCATTGTAACCACGTGAACAAGTTTAGTCCAGTCGTCATTGTAACCACGTGAACAAGTTTAGTCCAGTCGTCATTGTAACCACGTGAACAAGTTTAGTCCAGTCGTCATTGTAACCACGTGAACAAGTTTAGTCCAGTCGTCATTGTAACCACGTGAACAAGTTTAGTCCAGTCGTCATTGTAACCACGTGAACAAGTTTAGTCCAGTCGTCATTGTAACCACGTGAACAAGTTTAGTCCAGTCGTCATTGTAACCACGTGAACAAGTTTAGTCCAGTCGTCATTGTAACCACGTGTACAAGTTTAGTCCAGTCGTCATTGTAACCACGTGTACAAGTTTAGTCCAGTCGTCATTGTAACCACGTGTACAAGTTTAGTCCAGTCGTCATTGTAACCACGTGTACAAGTTTAGTCCAGTCGTCATTGTAACCACGTGTACAAGTTTAGTCCAGTCGTCATTGTAACCACGTGTACAAGTTTAGTCCAGTCGTCATTGTAACCACGTGTACAAGTTTAGTCCAGTCGTCATTGTAACCACGTGTACAAGTTTAGTCCAGTCGTCATTGTAACCACGTGAACAAGTTTAGTCCAGTCGTCATTGTAACCACGTGAACAAGTTTAGTCCAGTCGTCATTGTAACTACGTGTACAAGTTTAGTCCAGTCGTCATTGTAACTACATGTAAAAGTTGTTATGAATAAAGTTTCCTATATTAATACTGGTTTGACTGGTCGGGATACCCCAGATAAACAGCGCTTCCGGAGAACTGTCGAGCAGAGTCGGAAAGGGGGGGGGTGGTGGAGGAGCTGCAGGGGTATGGTAGCCGGGGGGGGGAGGTGGAGGAGCTGCGGGGGTATGGTAGCCGGGGGGGGAGGTGGAGGAGCTGCGGGGGTATGGTAGCCGGGGGGGGGTGGAGGAGCTGCGGGGGTATGGTAGCAGGGGGGTGTGTAGAGGAGCTGAGAGGGGGAACCCCGAGGAAGTTTGTGGCAGGGTATTTTTGTATTTGCCTATCAGTGTCTCTGGGGAAGTTGTTGTTTTAGATTTAGCTACTCAGAACGGAGTGTCCATGTAGCACGGGCTATGGTGAGCCCGTAATCTGGGGGAAGTGAACTCAAGCGCTCTATACAACCCGTCCTCTCCAATACTATATCGCATTCTGGCACACGTCTCCTCAGGCCAACAACTGGTGTACTGCTGGACGGGCACCACCAATCATAGCGGCTCGCAAAATTGATGCCCAACCACTTTCCTAAGTCCTTTATTGTTGGACGACAGAGCGACGGTCTCGCTTCATGTATTCGTTACCTTGTAGTTCGTACTTGCTTGGTTGTAGAGATGCACAGGCTAACTTCGTGGGCTTTATTGATGAAGACAACACTGTATATATCCAGCGGACCTGGGTCACGAGGTCCTCCCCTTCTCTAAGGTCTCGGATAACTGAACCTACTTCAGAGTTGAGGACGGGCACTACCCGCTCTACGTTGAGTGACGTCATGGGCCTAGCCGCCTCAGGATTGGCTATACACCTACCGTCTTACAATTTGAGGGCTAACATATGCAGGTCTGTGTTCAATCCTCGACCGTCCATGTGGTTGGGCACCAATCCTTGCCCCTTCCAAGTGCTGTATTGTCGTAATGGCTTAGACATTTCTCCTGATAATTACCTTACCCTAGCAAAACTGATGTGATGTCCTGCTGTTTACTGGTGGGTCCTCGTTTAGGTTAGTTTGGGGCGATTTAGTACATCAGTTTAGTGACGTTGTGGACGCTCGCGAAGACGGCCTTGTTTATGCCTCTACTACTAGCCTTGTTGTACCTGTTGCGTTATCAATAATTTACCTATCCTAATGTTTAAATTCTTTACCGAATCTAGTTTTATAATTGTGGATAGAATAGGCTTCAACAGCTTCTTTCACTTGCTGACCTCCCGTGAAGGAAACGAATCGAGTTCCTTCCATTTATTCGAATCATTTGCGTCTCCAGTTTCCACTTGTGGTGTGGGTGGTGTAGAGTATGTGGCAAGAGTGGCTCTCTTGGATGTGTAGGGGTTATGGTAGAGGTTGATCATATAACAGAGCAGAGAGCGAGGTGTGGGAGTGTGGTGGGGGCGGTCCAGCTGGTGGAGTGGTGGTCCAGGCCGGGCAAGGTACACGCTGTCACCACCTTCCTCCCCTACACAGTGTCCAGTGCTCACGGCTCACACCAAGATGGTGTGTCTCACCGTCACATCTTAACATGTCCGAAACTACTTTCCTCGAAAAATATGATAAAAAATCGAAAGCGCCTTATCACGCTATTTCTAATTTCCTGTCCACATACCTTTAGCTGTTGTAACTCCAGTAATTATCTTTATTTATCCTCTTAGGTTGATGGACGGCAACACTAACTTGTATATAATCCCATGTAACAGAAAGCTCACAGAGAGTGAAGACGAGCGGCCGGCGGAACACCCTCCCTCACCAAGTTCTAGCACAACACTGAGTTAATGACAACACCTACACTGACCTCAATGCCGACGCCGGGTGCCAGCTAGCCTATTTCCCCCCCACTCATCAACTCACTATGGCCGCCTCCACCTCTTAAGAAAATAACTCGTGGTGATTTAGTGCTCATTGCCCCAGCGCGAAGTTATTCTTTGCTCCTGATGTGCTTTGGTCAGGTTAATTGGCTTGCTGCTGCTATCGAGGGCGAGAGGTCACGAAAAGTCTCCGTGGTGTAGTGGTAAGACACTCGCCTGGCGTTCCGCGAGCGCTATGTCATGGGTTCGTATCCTGGCCGGGGAGGATTTACTGGGCGCAATTCCTTAACTGTAGCCTCTGTTTAACGCAACAGTAAAATGTGTACTTGGATGAAAAAACGATTCTTCGCGGCAGGGGATCGTATTCCAGGGACCATAGGATTAAGGACTTGCCCGAAACGCTACGCGTACTAGTGGCTGTACAAGAATGTAACAACTCTTGTATATATCTCAAAAAAAAAAAAAAAAAAAAAAAAAAAAACTCTATATATGTCAACGTGCTTTATCAGTAGGTTTCCCCCACAGTGGTACGTGTTTGGGATTGAGTTTCTGAGCATAATAAATGAACTAAATCAATCCATTGTGTTATCGTGAATTATTCCTTGTTGACGCTAGGTTTGTATAATATATATTTATCATGTTTGCTGCAACATTGTAAACTATGTGTACAAGAGCTGGGTCATACTCTCCAACACTATATCTATGATTGCTCTGTTATCAGTGATTTCAGACCAAATGGTATGAGGTACGTTGAGTTCTGTAATTACTTTGTACATTCATGAATATTGAAAGATATTCTTGTGCTGTACCCAGATTTGGCTAGTGGAGGCTAATATATCAGCTTTACATTTTATGTTCTCTCCAGATTCCATGTATGACTGGCCGTCCTGTGAGGTGGGGATGTTGGATGAGCTTGTAGCTGGGTTTTTCATCTACACTGTGTAGTTCTTCATACAGAATAGGGTAGCAGCACATTGCTGTGCATACCTAAGTTTATTAATAAAAAAAATTATTTTATAGTTTTTTAAATTGAAAATAATAGATGAAAGTAAAAGGATGAATGTGATAATTACCTCTGCTGCGAGCTATTTTTGCTAGCAAATAGATTTGTTATTTCGTGGCAGACCTTGCAACATGCAAGAGGCCGTATGCATGACCGGTCGTGTTGCTGGAGAGATCTGCTCACGAATGTCTCGTTCTGCCTGCTTCAGTACTCACAATTAACAATATTCAGAATAAAAGTATATTCCACAGAAATGTATATACATACGCTATTAAAAATGTTTTTGGGGATTTAGATTAGGTCTTTTCGGAAATGCTTATGAAACTCGGCGTCAAATACTTCCTAAAGCGCGATCGTCCACTGGTTTTGGTTGGGTGTCATTTCCTGTTACCGAGGACAGTGAACTTGTCAGACCTGTCGAGGTCCTCCCCCCCTGCCTTAGGGTGGGGCTGTCTGCACGGTCACCCAACCAGTTTCTGGCCAGAGCCAACTGTGACCTCTTATGCCTGGTGATTGATCGGGGTTTTCACATTGATACATAACATTAATGTGATGTATCAATTAGAAAATCTGCGGGAGCCATGAGGAGGATTCGAACCTGCACACTGGGTATTCCCAAACACACTCTGACCTGCGGTTAATGCTATTCACACCCTTACAGACCACAAAGAAATCACAATGGTGTGATATATCACTGAGAAAATAATTCTGTGGCAATGAGGTGACCTGAACCGGCGTTCTGGTGTGAACAACATTACATGCATGCCAAAGTGTAGGCGGGCCTGTCGTAAAAACCTGGTTGGGCACCGGTACGACCTCTCTAAACCATATCTACTGGGTCTGCTGGTTGCACAATATTCAAAAATAATAAACAATATGCAAGAATTTCATGCCACACGCAAACTACCAGGATATGTAAACTTAATGATATTCAACTATTTAAAGAACAAACGTATGCTTCTATGTTCATTTGAATACATTAATAAGCAGAGGGACTCCTGAGGGCTCCCCAATCATCTCCCCGTCTGTGTGTTTATTTGCCACGAGGCATATTAGTTTCCGCTCATAAGCGACATTCATTTCACCATTAGGCTTCGCGATTAACCCTTCACGGGTACGCCGGAGCGCATCCGATCCCACGATCATCGTCGCCCCTAACTCAACAACAACAATTAATAATAATGCGCAGTAATATAGGTTATGGGCTGATGATGTTCCTAGCTCACCACGAGACAACTGAGAAACTGAATATGGTTCTATTAATATAGTTATTAAATTAAGGCGAAGAGATTAAACCCGATATTAATCGCACTGACTAAAAAGTCTGGAAGTGTTGGAGGGAAGAGGTGGCTCGCCATTATGGATATCAACAAAGCCAATGTTGATGACGAAACAACGTTGACGTTGACTCCTGGTTCAACCTTGTCGTCGAGGGGACGCCTGGACACCTTGGGGCTGCCGGATCACGTTCCATTTCGCGATTTTACCCATTGAATTTTGATACTGCCTTCTGGCATTCCTGTTCAACGTTCCGGATTGTTGCTACGCCTTGCGCACTTATCGCCTGGTGTCACAGGAAAGTTGTTAGATTTTGAACGTTTTCTAGCTGCTCCTTCGGGCGGTGTGACGGTGTCCAGCGCGGGCTTGACCTAGAGATGCCGGGAATGGGTGGGCTCTCGGTGTGCCCTCAGACGTGGTGGCGGCTGACTGCTGCTTCTGGTGGGCACTGGATCACTTTTTGCGTTTTAGTTGGGAGGGGCCGAGTGTTTGCTTTGCTACCCAGAGTTCTCTGTGTGGGGCGGGGACGGTTCTTGCCTCCATGAGGGACTCCTGGGACTAATTATCTACCCATCTGTGTACGTGTTTATTCGTTGCAAGGAGCATTAGTTTCCGCTGACAGGCGATGTTCACTTAGCCATACGGCTTTGTGATTTACCCTTCAAATTACCTCGTTCTTTACCAGTTAGGAGGTCTTCCCACTGACTGAAATTCCTCCTCTGCCTAAAATGCTTGCCCTGGTAGCCTAGCGGCTCCCAGCTGAGAATCACTAGCCTAAGGGAAGACATTGATAATGCAATAATTTGGCGGTGCCAATAATTTGACCAATTCGTCATATGGTCACAACCGGACGTTTCCCGCCTGGTTGTGACCAAATGACCAGCTGGCCAAATTATAAGCACTGCTAATATGATATCCCAGATGTTGTTTCTTGCTGGTCATGTGGTCACGCCGCCAGTACACACCGAAGGCTCCTCTAGCAAAAATACTTCGTCTCGCTTGGGTAATCGCCATGCCAACTTGCACAACTGCCAAGGATTTTCTCTTTTTCTCATTCTATTTTCAAACAGTTTTTTTTTTAAATAACTAAATTTTCTTGCAATTTTTCTTCGTATATTGGGTTGCTAATCCTGCTCCTGGTTAAAGCTAACTTATACATACTTAATTCAGCTCAGCCTTAAAAAATATGGACGAGCGGCCGATATCCAGATATAATTTCTTACGAAAAACAAGTTCCATTCGACACAAATCAATCTCTGGACTCCCGGAAGGTCCCCAAACAATAGAACAGACCCTCAAGCGCCAGCTAGAACCCACACAACCAGGAAAATTTATCTGGTAATACTCCATGAGAGAGAGCGGGCCTCAGAACACACCTTCCACTCCCAGGTTCTCTGGGAATGTATAATATAACCTATATTGAGCATTATTTTATCATACAATATATATAACAAGACAAGGGGGAGATTATTCTACCTGTTGAACCAGTGATGAATCTTTCGAAATATATTTAATGTGAAAATTGACCAAGAGAGTTTTTGAGGCCCGGTGTAGACACAAGGACACAGTGTTGTCACAAGATCACAGTGTTGACCACTGTTATGACCTAGTTTATTCACCATATTTTTTTAAATACACTGTCCTAACTTTATTAATAAATGGTATATGTATGGTTATTAATATGCATAATATTGTTCCATTAATGTTATCTTATGGTGAACATTCTTGTAAAGTCGACACAACATGGGTTTGTTAAAAACAGATCCTGCCTTTCAAAGCTGCTCACATGTTTGGAAGCGGTAACCAGCTACTCTGACAAAGGCCTTCCGGTTCCTGTAGTAAACACTGATTTTCCTAAAGCCTTTGATAAGGTACCACAGGAAAGACTGACAAGGAAATTACAGGCAAATGGAATAAATTTAAGAATATTAGAATGGATAAAGCAATGGTTAAAACAAAGAAAACAGAGCTGTGCTAAGTGAGAATGAATCTGATTGGAGAAATGTGGTAAGATGGGGTACCACAAGGGTTTATTTTGGCACCAGCCCTATATTATATTATATACCAGCCCCATAAAAATTATATATATATATATATATATATATATATATATATATATATAATATATATATATATATATATATATATATATGCATATATATGCATATATATATATATATATATATATATGCATATATATATATATATATATGCATATATATATATATATATATGCATATATATATATATATATATGCATATATATATATATATATATATATGCATATATATATATATATATATATATATATATATATATATATATATATATATATATATATATATATATATATATATATATATATATATATATGTCGTACCTAGTAGCCAGAACTCACTTCTCAGCCTACTATTCAAGGCCCGATTTGCCTAATAAGCCAAGTTTTCCTGAATTAATATATTTACTATAATTTTTTTCTTATGAAATGATAAAGCAACCCTTTCCTCTATGTATGAGGTCAATTTTTTTTATTGGAGTTAAAATTAACGTAGATATATGACCGAACCTAACCAACCCTACCTAACCTAACCTAACCTATATTTATAGGTAAGGTTAGGTTAGGTAGCCAAAAAAAGCTAGGTTAGGTTAGGTTAGGTAGGTTAGGTAGACGAAAAAACATTAATTCATG